ACCTGCAGGGCAGGGAATCTTTGTGCTTGAAGGGGAGTGAAGGCAGTGCTGAGCAGCAGAGGGGACCTGGGCCTGCACATGCCCAGCAGATCAACATACCAGTAGAACAAAATTAGGGCCTTTGTAAGATCCTGGTCCAGTTTTGTCTTCCACCAGACTTGACTCCCGTTTTCTCAGGAAAGCATTTATTTCTTTCATTTAGGGCCAGGGTATTGATAGTGCAGTTAGTGATAAAAAAAAATTACCGTGATGCCCCGTGCTGAACCTGTGTATCCCCACAATTAGTCCTCAGGGTCCTGTGCGTCTCTGCTGAGCTGGCAATGCAGCAAAGTCCAGCCTCTGGAGCCAGGGTGTCCCTGTACCCTCCGACACTGACAGCCCTCAGGTGTTCCAGGGTGGACCCAGGGCTGGGGAAGAAGAGGTGATGCTAGGGCTGGTGGTAAAATTAAGTTAGAAAAGAGAATAGATATACACCTATCCTGAAATTCATTGTCCCCCAATATACGATCCAGAATGCAAAAATATCTCAAACACAATTGCCAGCTTATGTTTTAACTTGGTATGATTATCTTGTATCGATGGTTTTATTTAGAACTTGGAAATTTACTGTGATCCGTCGTTGGTTTTCTTTTTTAATCCTCACCTGAAGATATTTTTCCATTGATTTTTAGAGGATGGGAGAGAGGGAGAGAGGGAAGAAGGGAGGGAGGGAAGAACTGAAGGGGAGAGAAGGAGGTAGAGAGAGCTCAAACATTGATTGGTTCCCTGCTGCACAGACCTTGACCAGGGCCAGGGATCGAACCTGCAACCCTTATGTTTCCAGGTCAGTGCTCTAACCACGGAGCATACCCACCAGGGCTGGTTTTCATTTTAACTAGGAATTTTAAATATTCATAAAAGAACAGAAAATAAGGAAACATATCTGTTTCCAGGCTTAGCAGCATGTTAATATTTTACCATATTTGCTTCAAATATTAAAAAAATGTTAAGAACTAGTCCAGATGTATAAAATGGTTTTTTAGAAGGATGTAAGTATATATTTGATATAACTCCAAGTTATAAGAACCTCCTACTAAGTTTTTAAATTTCCATTTTATATTTGGCTCTTAAGTCCACACCACTTGATTTTTATTTATGTCATGGGCTACAGGTCCAATTTTAATTTTTTTTCCAAAGCAGTAACTATTTGAACACCAGCATTTTCAACACTGCCTCACACTGTGAATCTCCATGCAGTATGAGTCTCTCCTAAGCTCTCTTTTCTGTTCTATTCTTCTATTTGTTAGCCTCAAGCCAAAACCATAGTACCTTAATTATAGTGATCGGAGCCCTGGTTTCCAACTGAGAGCAGTTTTGTTCCATGGCGGTCATTTGGCAAGGTCTGGCAACCGTTTTGCTTGCTGTGATTGGGGTAGGCATGTGCTATTAGCATCTAGTAGGTAGAGGCCAGGGATGCTGCTAAAACATCCTACGAGATACAGGGCAGCCCCACAACAGACAATTATCTGGTCCAAAATGTCAGTAGTGCTAGGTGCAGGATGCTGTTTTACAGTAAGTCTTGATATATGTGGTGGAGCAATTCCTGTTTGCCCCTACACACTCTTTATAACATTCTTGTTTTCTTCAGAGTTGCCTTCACTATTTCTGTATGAATGTGTTCCTCCGAATGAATTTTAGTCAGATTTTCAAGTTCTAGGAAAACCTGTCGAGAGCTTGATTGGAATTGCATTGTTTCTACACCAAGTGAGAACCGGAGGCTCAGTGGGATTGGGAGTTTCTGTGGTGCACACAGTGGTCTTATCATTTCTTTCCTGAGTGGCGGAGACAATTCCTCGGACCCTGTCTGGGACCAGTGATTTCTCAGAGAGAACTGCCTGTTCCTTTTCTCTGACCAATAGTGACTTCCTATATCTTGTTAATTTTAGCAAAGTTTCCATGGATTTTGCCCAGCTTGTCCTTAGTATTCAAATATACTAGCATAATGTCCGTAGTTCTTAGACTTTGCCATATTTGGGGTTAGGTTTGCTTTTGCATTCCTCAAATTGTTAATTTAGGACTTTTATTTCTTTTTCATGAATCTTAAATTATTCATTTTTAAGTGTTTTCAACTAAGAGTCAACTTTTCATTTTATTATTCTTCCTTTCCACCGTGTCTTTATTTCATTCATTTCTTCTCTGTAGTGCTGGGCATTTCTGGGATTTTTAAATTTAATTTTGTTCCGTCTAATTTAAGTTGAATGTTTAGACTCAATTTTTAGATTTATTAAGATATTCAGAGCTATGAATTTTTCACTAGGGTACCACTTTAATATTATTCTATAGGTTTTGATAAGAAATAGTTTCTGGGTATTTATAATTTTCCTATAAGATTTCTTATTTGACATATGGACTGTTTTTCTAGTTACTTTTTATTACTGGTTTCTAATTAAAATTCAGTTGTGGTTAGAGAATGGGTTTTTGATATATACATATTTTTTATTCAGGACTTACTTTATGGCCCATTACAGAGAACTTTTCTACATGTTCCATGTGCACTTGAGAACAAAATTCTAAATGATAGGCATGGTTTCTTTATAGTTTCCATTTCATCAAGTGGATTGCTTAATTATAAATGTTCAAAGAGGTATATTTAACCCTCCTATACCCACCCCCATGACTATGGATGTTGTTACACTTTGTCCTTCTAGCCATTTTTATAGTCACACAGAAATTTTGAAATATCTACCTGGAAAAGAAAACCTTTAAAAAAGCATTGAGTGTAACTCCTTAGCCCAATATTGCTTTTGTTTCCTCTTCTATCTATTTTGATAGATATTAATACAGTTATACCAGCTTTCTTCCTCAAGTTGTTTGCCCACTTTCCACTTTTAAAAAATGTTACTGTTTGTGTGTCTATGTTTTAGTAGTTTCTCTTATAAACAGAATGTAGCTAGATTTTATCATTTACTAGTAATTCAGTTTTATAATCTGTTAACTGGCAGGTTTAGTTCATTTACATTGATTGTGATTACTAACATACCTGACATCATTACCACCTTATGTAGCACTCTCTATGATCTTTAGTCAACTTTTTTCTCTCTCTTTTGTTTTAAATATATACTCTTGCCCTCCTTAAGGGATAGCAGACAGAAAAGGAGCCTCTGCCCCTTTCAAAACTCAAGTCAAAGCAAGGCCAACAGCCAGAATGCCACGCTGATGGCCTCCACAGCCACACAACCAACCTGCATCCACTGATTTTCAAGCAGCCCAACCCCCACACAAGGCTCCCAAGGACAGTCTGACACTGTGCCACCAAGTTCCTTCCCCCTGGCCAGCCAGCAGAAGCAGCTCCAGGAGAGCCTGCACCGGTGTCCCTGGGATCCACCAGGCACTCGCTGACAGGGTCCACGCCCTGGTCAGGTCTGATGCAGAGGGCGGACATCTGACTACACTGCTCTGGATATTGCCACGTCAGGGGGATCATCTAAACTAAAAAAAACTTTCCCCCAGCTAAAAGTAGAAATGACATATTATTTATACTTTTAGTGCTGAACTTTGATTTTGTGGTGACTAAAGACAATCAGATTCTCCCCTTCATACCAAATACAAGGGTCTTACATTGCTTCATCTCTCATCGCAGCCTTCCCCTCTTACCAGAATTGCTCAGTCCTTTAATTCTGCCAGAGTAAATCATCCACATTGGACACGACTATGACTTTATTCAAGGTTTTGTATTAACTCACTAACTCATGAGACTTTTCGCTTTGAACATTTCTTGCATCTCAGACCTTCCTTCTGGGACTCACCACCAGCTTCCTGAGCGCAGGCTCATGGCCAGGGTTTCTGACAGTGCTGATCATCTCATACTTGAACTTAAGTGCTGGTTAATGATTTGGAGTTCCAGGGGTGGCATTGACCCTGCCTCTCATTTTATTCTTCCTTCTTCTGCTTTTTATTGTGGAGGCTGTCAGTCTATTTGTCCTCGTTCCTCATCTGCCCTTCCTCTTCTCTTGTCAGTTTCCCTACAATGGATGTAGCTCAGGGTTTCTCTTATCTGTCTTGCTTGTAATACATTTTGGTTCCTAAATCTGGTACCTCAGATCTTTCAGCAAGCCTGGGAAACAGCCTTTGAATATGGCTGCTCCCCACATCCTCTCATTAGAACTGTGTAAACATTTCCATTTTCCATCACTTTTAAGCTCTTCCCTAGTACCCATCTTTTCCTTTGTGTATAATGGGGAATTTATTCAGTCTCCTAGTTTACTAATTTTCTCTTTGGCTCTCAATAATCTTCAATTTAACTTGTGCCCAGAACTTTAAATTTCAGTGATTAGATTTTCCCTATCTGAAAGTTATTTGGCTCAAGTGCCTGCACTAATTTTCCTACCTTTTATTTGATTAAAAATGCTTAGTTATTTAAAATTATTGGGAAAGAATGCTAATACTGAGCTTGTTTCTGACTTATTTTTATGTGTGTGCTGTAAGTTTGGGATTGTATTAAATTGGACTTTGTTTTTCTGTGCCTCTGAGATGCAAGTTAAAGGTGTGTCCATTCAGAAATAACGTGTATGCTCATCTGCCAGGCACCGACATGGGGTGACTTAGCCAGTTGTACTTCTCTGGACCACAGAAGTGGTTTAAATATCAACTCCAGATTCAGGAGGCATCTCTTACCTGGTACCCAGCTGATCAGACTCTATAGTCTTATAGCTTCTATTTGCTGGTGGGCTGATTTTATTCTTTTTAGTCTGAGTTTTCACTACAGGGGCTCATGGTTCCATCTCCCCAGCTTGCTAATGCTGCTAAGATTGAGGAGTAGAGAGAGGGCCCAAGGGCAGTAAAAACTTCAACGGCAATGATTACAGAGTTTGGGGGCAGAAGCACATTTGTGTTAAGTGGAGAGCTTTCTTATCACCTCATGCTGTGGCAGGAATGCCCCCTCCTTCAGATAATGCCCTTCCCCCAGCAGCCAGGAACTGTTGAAGATAAAGGGTAATTCTTCTGGGGCCACTCTCTTCCAGAGCCCATGGGGAGCATGTCGTCCATGGAGGTGAATGTGGACATGCTGGAGCAGATGGACCTGATGGACGTGAGCGACCAGGAGGCCCTGGATGTCTTTTTGAATTCAGGCGGAGAAGATAATGCTGTGCTGTCCCCCGTCTCAGGTAGGAGGTGACCAACCTGCATAAAAGCCTCGCCACTCTTCCTTCCGAGGGAAGACTCCGGTAATGATGCACAGATCTCTCCGCCACAGTCACTGCTTGTTCCCACCCATCTCCACTTCCTGTGTCTGGTCTCACAACGGGGACAAATGAAACAGCTGATCTGTCACGAAATTCTCAAAGATTTCTAGTGCTGTACCCACACACCGTCCAAGAACAGGGCACTTTAATTCCTGTTTGACCTCCTCCGTCTCAGAAATTTTGATTCTTAGTTTTTGTGGTTATTTCAAGGCCTGGAATTTGGGGGAAGGTGGCAGATCGCCTGTGACACAGACCTGGTGCTGGTCCCCTTCATTCAGCTGATATTTATTTCATTTTTGTTGTGGGCAAGGCCAAGGTATGTGTTCAGTATTTGGCTTATATTTTTAAAGACAGGTGCAACCCTGTAGGCGCTCGCACTTCATTTTATGCCTTCCCAAATGTTCACATTCGTTCAGCAAGTACTTACTGAGGTTACAAACCTACACATGGGCTCACTTCATTTTAAATTTCTGATCAGACCTTCTTATACACAAAATCACAGAGCAAGCACCGCGGTTGTGTGTGTGTGTGTGTGTATGTGTGTGTGTCCCCACCCCCCCAACACACACACAAGGGAAAGGCAGTCCTCCGGGCTCCCGGGCCCTCCAGTGTGGCTGGCACCACAGCCCTTTGGAGTTATTGCCATTTGTGTTGTTTTCAACTTCTCTGTCCTCTTCTCCCTGCAAGTCTGTGAGAACAGAACTGTCCCCAGGAGGGCAGCCCTATGCTGAGAGGCTGGGACACTGGACATGGGGAGGAATGCTGGCCCCTTTCCCAGAATCAAGAAGAGATTTAGAAACAGGGACTCCATCATCTGCATGTGCTTTGGTTCCTTTAAGAACTTATTGGCTCCCCATGAAATTGGAGAAATGTAAAAAAGATTGAGTTTTTCTCTTAGCATTACTTTCTCTGAGTTATTACTTGCAAAGACATAGAGTAAATCTAGGTTATCATGGTTACGTGGCATGCTCCTCAAAGAAATTCAGTGCGCGCCCCAGCGCCTTCATCCCAGTATTTCCCTGGACCTGGTGGGGGGGCTCGGGGTCTTCCTGTCTGTCACAGGCGCAGAAGGATCACCTCTTCCAGTGGGAGTCTCCTTTGTAGCCCCAGCTCACCACAAAACACGGACACCTTTTTTTTAACAGCATGAGTTCAGACCACCACCTTCAGTAGTAAATTCAGTTTTAAACTGTGATATTTTATCACAGGTTCTTCCTGTTTTGCAGGGCCTGAGTCAAATCCTGGTCAGAAGGAAATGACTCTCCCGGTTCCAGATCTCTCGGAATTACCAGCGCAGCCGCCTTCCTCATCCTCCACCTGCACTGACCCAGCCACCCAGGACTCCAGCGAAGGCGGAGAGTCCCCCGTCGTGCAGTCTGATGAGGAGGGAGTTGAGGTGGACACTGCCCTGGCCACTTTGCACAGCGACGACAGCGACTCCTAAACCCGGCATCGCCCCTGAGCAGACCCAGCTGCGCGGAACCCCACTAAGGCAGGTGGCTGACAGAGGCTCCGATTGTCACACAACTGCCAGTAATTTCTGAGAAACTGACTGAAAGAAAAGCTAACAATAAAGTTTGAGGACGCTGAGGGAGGACATGGCAGTTTGCACAGAAAGGCTTCCAAACACATGCGCCTTCAGGAGCCCACAGGGCTGGGGGGCTGGTAATGTGGTCTCCCTAAGAAAGGCCCTTCACAGAGAGAAGCCCGGTCTCCTCCACAACCCAACTCAATTCTAACAAAAGTGGTTTCATCACCCAGTTAATAGCTCAACTCACCTCACCTGGCTTTAGCAGCAGCAGCACCTCTGAGCCCAAAGGAAACAAACAGATCATGAGCCATTCTTACCTCTGACGGGGTGGGGTTTTCCTTCCCGCTTTCCTCATTGCGCCTCCCCGCCCCCCTCCTGGCCTCCTCAGGATGAGGGAAGCCTGGTGCCCAGCCCCACCCCCAACTCAGGGCAGAGCGGGGCAGCCTGGCCCTGCAGTGCTGCTTCCAGAGGCCTTGGCGGGAAACAGGAGGCAAGCAGCGGGCATTTGGTTTTGCTCGGATTCAAAAGGCCAGTAGCAGAGGAAGGTGAGTTGGGTCAGGCTGTGTTGTCTGCCTCAGGCTGAGGGAGGATTCTCACCCTCTACCCATTTACCAGAAAAGAAAGCTCATTTCATTCACTCATCTTCCACAAGACAAATGTCCAAAAAAACTTTGTTTTTATTATTAAACCTTGTAGTACAAACCTGAAAAGTAAACAAAAAACTGGCAATAAACAACATGAAGACTTCCCTCCCCAGGGAAGAGTGCAGAGCAGCGCTAATAAATTAAATGTCAAACTGTAAGCCATAGGCAGAAGTTTACTGTCAAAAGAGGGAAAGTACACAGCAAGGCCATAAAAACCGGACAACCACATTGGAAAACACTTGACTCCGTTTATGTAATTGTTAAATATTCCAAAACAGTTCAGTCTCTGCAACAACAACCAACAAAGTGGATCACAGGACGTTCCTGACAGTCCCACTGGCAAGCTCAGTGCAGTATGGGTAGCTACGGGATCGATGAATCCAATTATGAAACAAAGAACAGCTTGTGAAAACAGTTTCCCTTCTTTATTCCACACATACTGTACACACAACTGGAGAAGGGCAACAGCTACTCCATTATTATTTTTGTGTTGTTGTTCAGTGATGTAAGCAGCACTTATAAATGTTACAAGAAAAACCCTGTAAGCATCCAATCCAACCGATGAAGAAACTGAAATGTAAGGCTTTTCTTCATCTTGTCTTCTCACCCCCCCTCCCCACGCCCACTGAGAAAAAGGCTCAAGTATTTAAAACAATTTACAGGCATATGTACAAAAGGATTCTTTTTTTTTTTTTTCCTTTTTTTTTTTCTTTTTGTTACAACATGAGAAAAAATAGACAAGATGAGCACAAATGCATTTTCACATTCAAAAGAACTGCAGACCTAGTGGCTCTAAGTATGATCCTAAACAAAACAAATTTAACGAGAAGATTAATGCTGACTTGTGAGTGTGAAACAAGCGGTGAGATGAGATGGAATGTTAGAAAGATTGCACATCTATGACAAAGAAGCACTTACGGCTTCAATCACTTTTTTTTCTTTTTCTTCCCTTAAGGATGCTACTGAAGGGTTTTTTGATAAAGTAGCCAACAGCACCAAAAAAATAACAGAATGGATTTCCTAATGAAATCAGGCACAGGTTTCTGCACGTGACCCCTCCGAGACAGGCAGTCTTTCTCTTCTCTCTTCTTTCTTAGATGCATAGTGATGTGCTGGTAAGGAGAACCTCGTCACTCAAATCTCCTCATTTTGCCTATGGTTAGGAAACAGTGTCCGCCTTCAGCTGCCACAACCGCCCAGAGAAACAAAATGGGGTTCTCCGATTTAAAAAAATTACAAACTCATCTTGCACATGACTGAAGAAAAGACAGCCAAAGTAAAGCCATTTCTTTTCAAGTTTTGTGTGTGTGTGTGTGTGTGTGTGTGTGTGTCTCCTACCCCTTTCCTCTAGAAAAATCTCACATGACTGAAAGTTTTAAAATTTGTTCTCCAAACTTCACCCTCTTCAAAAATGGGTTTAAAAAATCATTTTCCCCCCAACAGTTACAAAAAAAAAAAATCAAACAAAAAGGCTTTTGTCAGCCACAGGGGCGATACAAATTAATACAGCCCCTCAAGGGTTTTAAAACAGTGAATATACGGCAGTTTCAAAAATCTGACTGCAGTATCTAGGTATTCTAAGTACAAAAAAAAAGTTCAACAGTTTAATGCTAAAACAAAATTAGTTCTCTAAAACCAGAAGAAAATCTTCTTTAGAGCTAGTGCAAAGACAGCTTGTATCCTACAGCAAGTACTCCAAACTAGAATATAATAATTACAAAAAATAGATCTCAATCGCCGCGGGGCGGGCAGCTTCAGGACGAGCTCGCTGCACTCCGGGAGGAGCTGGAGGATGCCAGCCGGGAAGGTGGCACGTCCACCGTTGCTCTCTTGCGGGGCCCCCTTTTTGGTGTCGGTTTACTGAGACAGTTCTCCACGCTGCCGTTCTTACCAGAGACCTTGCCACAGATCTGATTGACCAGACTGATGATCTGTTCCTGTTAAGGGTAGGAAGGAAGGCAGAGAATTAACAAACCAGAAGAGTGCCGCCCCCTGAACCACACAGGACCTTTGAGAGCTGAGCTGCCGGACTCCTCATCAGACCACACAGACTTCTGAGCGCTGCCCCAGGAGCGGGCTGCAGGAAGGCTGGGAGTCTGAGGATGCAGCAGGCTAGAGAACGAGATAGGCCAGACAGTTCTGAGGACGCATCTAAAACACGCTTTCCGTCTTAGGGAGAATCCGCTGCACCTCACCTGACAGCACAGCACAGGCCGAGGTGCCTGTCACAATCAACTAACCTGATAAACATCTCCTGGAGGCTGCAAGGTGTAGACTAACTAATACGCTAAAGCCTGAAATACACCGTCCTACTACTGCACAGTCCGCTATGGAATTGTTTCCTAAAAGCTGTGTCCCAATCTGGGTGTGCTCCTGGACCTGAGGCACAGATTCCCTCACCACAGCCAGGCGCACAGCCCGAGCCAGGAACCTCTGAATGACCCTGCGGCTCGGAGTTCAGAGGTTAGCCCGGGAAGGGGAGGCCTCAGCTCACCGCCTCCACAGTGAGCACTTAGAGAAAAGACCCAGGGGCTCCAGCCTCAGTCCTCAATGTGCTCCCTGGCGGTGGCACAAGCCTGAAGCTGCGTTTCACAGGCCACCCTGACTCCGCCGGCTTCACCTGGTCTCGCAAAGGAACGCAAACACTTGACTAGAAATGTTTCCGTTGTTCCCTCTTCCCTCCCTCCCTCTGTGAAGGCGAGCCGGTAAACAAAACATGCGTCTTATAGTTCACTCTAGATAGGCATTTATCTGTTGGTATCAAAAACACAGTTGTAACATAACTCATAATCATCCAGTTTTAAAAGAACCACACAAAACACCAAAATGCCATGGAGCTGACATAATATGTTGTGGTACCTGCCGGGCCAGGGGCGAGGGAGCCATGGGGACACGGGGCACACAGGTGGCTCCCCTTTACTCACAGAGGCTTGAGGGGGGCCAGATCCTGCCCGCCTCCTGGCTCCTGGCTTTGCCTGACATGCTCTTGAAAAGCCAAGATGCCAAGATCTACTCTCAGCCTCCAATCTTGCAACCCAGCCAAAGACTTGTGCCCACGGGAGGCGAATGGACTGTACCTGCCAACCAGCTGGCACAGGAGGGACTCCTTATGGAGCGTCTCTGAGGCCAAGTGGGGATCTCAGTGAAGACACATGTGGGGCACAGGAGCCAGGGAGGGATGGAGGGAGTCCCACCCCGGCTCCTGAACTGAGGGCACAAGCACTGGGAGCCGTGGGAATTGGCTGGACCTGGGGTTTACTTGGAAGGTAGAACCAACAGGACTTACAGAAACGGATGCACAGTGAGAGAGGCTCTCTCCCCGTGTTAGCCTGGCCCCTGCTGGATGCAATTCCTCCCGGGCATGGAGCCTGGGAGCTCTGAGAGCTGTCCCAGCATCATGTGCCACAGCCTGCTGCCCGCTGTGTGCCTGACCTGAAGTTAGATGCCTGCTGAGAGGATAAAGGATGCTGAGCTGTGTTTGTAGCTTTTCCATAAGACATGGAGGTATCTACGCTGCCAAAGCACCACAATGCAGCCACAGCCGCCCCTGCCCCTGCCAGCAGCGCTGCCAGGGCTATAGTGGTCAATGTACCTGTGAGGTATCACAACCAAGCAAGGGGGAGGGAGGGGACTCTACGTTAGAACGAAAGCCTCATCCTCACCACCGCGGAGCCCCAGAGCAGAAGTCCCTTCCAGCCCTGCCAGCGGCACGGTCCGGGATGGCCACAGCTCTGCCCGCCCCGAGACCCTAAATCAGGCTTCTCTGAGAACACGGCTTGGTTCCAGCAGCCACAGCCACGTACTGGGCACATCACCGGCCCAGACGGCTCCGGGCCTAGGAGGAGGAGGAAGGAAAGCCCTCCCTCCCCTGCCCACCAGCCTGGAGCCAGGAGCTGCAGCGGGGTCTGGCCTGTGATGGATGTGTGCAGGCAGCCCTCGGTCCGCCGTTTCCTTAGCCCAGCTGGCAGCGCTCCCTTATAAACGGAGGGAGGCCTGGTGGCTGGGAACCCTGACAGATGCTGCCAGGGCTCGATGGGGAGGGAGAGCTGGCTCTGCACGGGGAGGGTGGACAGGCCCACGTACAGAGCTACGAGTGACACGGAGGAGAAAACGAATGAAACCACGACTGGGAAAGAGAAATTTCCAGTTTCGGTTTCTGGGTTTGTCCAGGTCAGACAACCTCACAATCCCCCATCTTGCGACTTTCCCACGGGCTGGGCTCTGTCAGCCCCGAGCACCAGAACGAACCATGGGGGATGCACCTGGCCGTGCCAAACTGGCTCAGGCTGGGTGATGAGAGGCGGGCTCACCCTGCAGTAAACGGGGCAGGGACACAACCGCCACCGCCTGCCGCCCCGCTGCTGCCTGCAGGCCCTCGCGCGGCGGCACTGACCTCGTCGTAGCGGTACATCAGCTTCAGCCCTCGGCAGGACTTCTGCTTCTCCACGTGGCGCAGGGCGCACTCCAGGCAGAACACCACGTTCTCATTCTCCTGAACGACCTGCAAGGAAGACGCTCCTGAGGTGCTGACGGGGATCGCAGCACTGCTGCCAGGATCGTGCGGGGCGGGCACTGGGCGGGAGCGGTCCCAGAGCCAGGGAAGGCCTGTCCTGACGTGTGTTGTCCACGCTGAGGAGTGTGTATCAAAACCACCTGCAGCGAGGTCTTCAGCGACACTGATGCAACGAGTAACCGACTGTCTCCAAGTTGCACCTAAGGGTGCGAGAGCCCCCGATTCCTGCTGCACTTCCTGTGAGCGGTTCTAAGTGCCGTCAGGCGGGGAAGATGGGATAAACACTGATGCTTGTTTAGAAGCTCGCACATTCTGAGGTTTTTTGTTCAAAAACTAGCCTGGCAGGCACAGCGGTGCCAGGTCGGTGGGAGCTGTCCTGCACCCCAGCCCCTGGGCCAGGCGCCACCCAGACAGGCCCCTCCTGCCACACCCAGAAGAGCCTCCAGCGCCCCTGTGAGGGCACACGCCAGACCCCAAGGCCACACGGAGCGCGTGCGGACAAACCTGACCCACCACAGCACGGCGACCTGGACCTGGGGGAAGGATTAAGGACAGCTGTCTGATTTGTGGGGTTCCCACCTCCACTCCAACTTCTAGTCCTATTCTCATTCTGTGTTTAAAATAAAAAGAAATGTTGTCTTAAGCCAGAGATGTAAGGGAAGACCTGGGGCTCCTGTCTGCAGCGCTTCTGGGTAAAGTGCGAACAAGCTGGAGAGCAAAGAGGTGTCGCTGGCAGAAACGCACCACCTTTAAAGACATGGCTGGCGGAAGGGACGGACAAAAATGCCCACATTTACTAGGTCCATGCCATGAAAACTATAACTACGAATAAAACTCACTCTTTACCTATGAATCTAGGACACATGCTTTATAACACACAGGCTGGTAAGAAATGCCTGGTGACAACTCCCAAGGTGCAGGTCTCTGGAAGCGTGCCAGTGAGCCCGGGGAGTGGACCTTCGTGCTCACGGGAGTCAGGCAGTTGTTCCCAGCCTGTTCTCGGAAGGAGCACAGACCGAGGACTTTGTAAGTGACCTTCACAGATGTGGGCACAGACAGGCTAGATGGAAGGTGCATGGTTGTTATGCACTGAATTATTTCCACCCAATTCGCAGGCTGGCTGATGACCCCAGTACCTTAGAATGTGGTCATTTGTAGGTGGGCCCGGAAAGAGGAGATTAAGGTGAAATGAGGTGGGTAAGTGTGGGGTCTAGTCCAATATGACCTATGTTCTCACAAGAAGAAATTAGGACAGATGTTCGGAGGGAAGACCAGGGGAGGAACTGGGCAAAGGGCACCTACAAGCCAAGGAAGAGAGGGGCCTTAGAAGGAATCAGCCCCGCTGACACCTGGTCTCGGGCTCCAGCCTCTGCCTCTGTGCTGAAGGCAGTGTCTTGGTTTGACCCCCAAGTGGGCATTTGCCACAGGAGCACCAGCACATACAGCCGTTTGTCTCCTTTCAGAGTCTGACCGCCCTGATGCTACAATTTCCCTGGACTGGCTGCGGCCCAACTCTCCCGCAGGGCAGCTGGGTGGGAGTCCGGCGCAGGCGTGAGGCGCTGCAGTCAGAGCTGCCACACTTGCCGCTCTGCGTCTAGGCACATGGGCCTCATGTGAGGGGCGCTGGTGCCAGGCTGGCAGAGGGTGGGCACGTTACTGTCTAAGCTTCTCTTTCTGCAGGAAGAATGCACATGGGAGGGGAGAGGGCACCAGCACTGAAGGCCACAAGTGCCAGGCTGAGGCGTGTGGTGGGGAGCACCTGGAGTGGGAGTTGGGGCACCCACACACCTGTGTCAGGGCAGCTGCCCAGTGGGAGGGGAGAGATGAGCTAACCCCTAGCTGCACCCAGCCAAGTTCTGCCAGGCCCCTCTGGCCTGGGATGAGCAGGGTAAGCCACCCGGACATAATTACAGGTGAGGCTGAGGTGGAAGCCCAAGCCTTCGGGAACTGTGGGAACAAACCAGAAAGAACAGGAGGAGGCGTGGAGGAGAAGGGGCTGCGCTGGCGGAAGGAGGGGTAGGAGGAAGAGCAGGCTCAGAGGCAACTCTGATCGGAGGTGGGGAGGCTGGAGATGGGTGTGTGTTGTTGAAGAGAAACATTCCTTTTACCCAAAGACAGATTTCAGAGTCCTGAGGACAACGAGACAGGTCACGTGGATGAATGGAGACTGGGGAAAAGCCAAGGTTAGATGAGGCCCGCGTCAGCTTTGGCAGCAGAGTGGGGGCAGGCCAGCCCCTCACCAGGGGACACCAAGGGAAGCCTGGGGACGGGGGTGACAGGGCAGCGGCGTGAGGGAGGCCCTCTTCCTGCAGACATGAAGCTACACGTGAGGAAAGTCTGTGGAGGACGACGGGCAGCGTGGAGCCCACCCACCCTGGGTCCCTCGGATCTGGATACTGAGGATGCGGTGCTGACCCCTGGAGGTCAGGACCCCGGGCCAGGTGGGCAGGAGGTCCCAGGGCGGCCTGTGGGCAGGCACAGGTGGGAGCAGGTGGGGCCGGCGGCTCACCATGGACAGGTAGCACAGGTGCTGGCAGATCTGACACCTCCTCTCCGAGGTCTCCAACTGCAGCCACTTTCGAGGCTTTTTCTTCCCATCCACCAAGGTGCTGCTGCTGTCGTGGCTGCCGTAGCGGGCAGAGGAGTGGAGGCCGGCCTCGAACAGCTGCCTCCGCTGCCGCAGCTCCGTATCCCTGTCCAAACACAAGCACCGGGCCCTCAGGAGGCTGAGCACGGTGCCTGGCCGTCCCTCACCTTCAAAGGGAGCATGCTGCGGCCCTGGCCACTGCCCTCCCCCGTCCAGGCGCTCCCTCTGGTCAGAGGAGGCGGTGAGAAGTGCATGCTCGCCTCCCAAGGCCCCCAATGAAGACCCGTGTCCTTTAGTCAAAAGGTCAGACACCCCCCCAGCTTCCACAGCTACTCTAACAACTGGCTCTGCCTAACGGGAACAACACACCAGGGCACATGTGGCAATCCCTTCACTGCTCCCTAAGGGGCCCTGCCCTTCGCTCCGAGCCAAGAACGGATGGAACAAACTATTTGCTGGTACTGTCATCAAAGGTTCGACCAACACGAGTCGAAATCCGTGTGCTGTCCGTCAGCACTACCGACCGAGTCTCTCCCCTGGGAGAGAGAGATCACGAAGCTACATGATGGGAAAAGAGAAGAGGGTTACACAGGAAGCCAAGCAAAGGGTGGCACTTCTCCGCTTCTGCCCTGATCGGCTTCAACCTTGGGAGAGCTCCTTCGATCGCTGCGGGATGGAAGCTGGGCGTGGGTCTCGCACGCATCCTGAACAGGTTGGCAATAAGCCTGGTGAGGCTCGGTGGGCCTCTCGACGCCCACGCTAACCTCTGGAAGGGAGGCCGTGGCCAGCACTTCCTCCCTGGCAACATGCTGCTAGGACCCGAGATGCCCAGCATCAGAGCCCACCTCCTGGTCACTCCCACAGAGGAGTAACCTTTTGCATCAGCACCTCAGGAAATTCCAACTCCAAATAGCAAACATGAAAACAAGAGGAAGTTTAAATTACAAAATAAATAAAGATAAAAAGAAACACACCCAAAAGGTTCCACTCTTCAGGCCAGGCACCAGGTGGGCTCTGCCACTCTGAGCAGGTGGCTGCACCCCACCCTGCAGAGCCCCGGTGGGGCCCGCGCCCTGGCCTCGGCCCAGGGTCGGAACCCGGGTCTGGTTACCTGAGCTCATCCAGAAGGGCCGAGATGGTACTGAGAGTGGGGCCATTCTCCTTTTTCGCTTCCGCTTGTGCAATCTGGTAGAGTAACTTCTCCATGGAAAATGGCTTAGCTATATGGCGACGCTTCATTTCCTGCAAGAAGCGGTCACATCCCTTTAGGTGGGAGACCCTATTCCTAGGCAAGCTTTTTTTTTACGGGGCAGAAGACGCAATCTGAATTTTCAAATTTTGAGTTCCGCAGGGTTTCAAAGCAGTGCAACTTGTACAACAATCCTGTTTGCCTGCGGGAAAGGCACCAGGACCAGGAAACGCTACTGCTGTGCCATCAGCCACTGGGCAGGCCCCACGGGACAATGCGGGGAGACGTTCTCCCATTTCCAGGGCCATCCGTCGGTCCCCCCGGGTTACAGTGAGCCCACGATGGGACTCAGAATCTCTCTTGATACAAATAACCCCCTAACAGATCTTCCCTAGGAAAACCTCTCCACCACCTCTTAGAAGCATTTTCCAAAATTAAAGCTATCTAAACGGACGTGGGCGCGGTCTGTGCGCATGCGCACCGCCTGCCTACCTTGGCCGTCTCGAAGCCCATACTTGTCCACTGGGTGGTGGCAAAGTGCACGGTCTCAGAGACGCTGTAGCCGCAGCACACTTTGGACACAAAGGATCCGGGGAAGCAGACGACGAACTGGCCGCTCTGCTGCACGGTCCTGTGCACCTGGATGCCCTCCTTGCACAGCACCTCCGGGGAGATCTGGGGAGCAGACCGGGGCTGAGACACACGCCGCAGGGCACTCTCGTGGCCACTCTCCCCCCCCACGGCCCCACCACGCGCTGGCCTGCCCTTTGGGGGGGCCTCGGGAGTGAAGAAGGGGCCTGTTCGTCAGGAGACAGATTAGATTTGGTATTGAAGATTTTTTGTTTCTCATTTAAAAAGTAATGTTGCCAACCTAATTAGAAGAAAGATCTGAAATGACACTGGACCAAGAGTGACAACAGAGCCACCCAGATGTGTGGCCAGTATGAGAACAGCCCTACAGGCCACAGCAGTAACAGGGGTGGGAATGGGAAATATCCTCACTCAGCAGAGCCAGGCAGAGCCGCGGAGGTACAGCCCGGGGACCTTCACACCTGCCCCTGGAGGGGCTGCTGCTCAGCCTCCCTGGGCCAGACTGAGGCCCAGAGAGGGGTCAGCGGGGCCTGAGCCCAGGTGTCCGAACACGATGCTAAAAGGACTCCCAGGAACTCAGCAGCCCCATGACTTCCTGAAAATGGGACCAGAGGGCCTTTGTGCCCATCCCTGTTAGGGGGAGGGTTTCTTCTCTGTTGTCCAGTCCTCGAGGTGCCCAGCAGGTGGGAATAGCAGTACCAACAGACCCCAGGGCCCACCCCAAAGCAGGCCCACTTCGCACACACCCCAGTCTCCACAACAAAACCAGCCCTGAGACAGAGCAAGGCCACGGCGCACGTGCCCGATGCCCGGTGCAATCTGAGTGAGGCACCTGCTTGGTGTCCACAGAAGAGGACCCTGAGTTTGGATGATACTGTGAGGACGCACTTTGCGTTGTCCTCTGTGCCTCTGAAAGGCAGGCCGGCCAAGAGGGTGTCTGTCAAACAGCCCTGCCTACCCCATGCCCAGGCCCGGTGCCAGCACGGGCAGGAGCTGCACGTACCATGACGTTGCTCTCCAGCATCTGCAGCCCTGGGGTCCCGTTGGCTTGCAGCAGGGTGTGCACCACGTCCTCAAGCTTGCTCTCCTCCTCAGCAGGAATGCAATACCTGGTGATAGGAGACAAGGCAGAGACTTGACCAGGACCTGCCTGGGGAGCATGGTCTGGGCCCACCCTACCCCCTCCCTCGGACAATGAGCAAATGTGGGCTGGGAAGCAGCCTCGGGTGCAGGAGACTGAAACTTGGAGGAGAGACTGAGTCCCGGGATCAGGGAGATGCCTGACTCGGTGAGGGACACTGTAGTTCTCAGGCCACACCCACCCACTCCCAGGCAACACTGCTGCTTCTGACCAGCCCAGCACAGCACAGCACCCTCATCTTTTATGCAGACCTGACCTATACATGAGCCCAGAAACCTTCAAATCAAAAGCAGATGTTTAAAACCCCGTATAAATCAGACACAGGCACATCTGCAGACTCAATCAGCCTTCCGTGAGTGTGCCAATGCTGCGTCTCATCCCCGGGCTGGCATTTGACAGTTCTAACAGGAGGCGCTGCAGAACTAGGATTCGTGCCGGAATACGCGTTTCCCTCAGCTCTCCAACCCGGGCCACCTCGTGAGAGCCTGGCCCCGCTCAACCTCCTGGCCCGAGAGTGGCAGCTGGGTGACCAGAAAGGCAGAAATACAGAAAATATAGAAAAAGGTGGGGGCAGGAGTCCTGCCTGCGCACATGCTGGCTCATGCCGGCACAGAGGCTGACAGTGGCCGCTGTGAAGTTATGGAATAAGAGGAGGGTGCACCGGGTCCCAGGTCTGCCCCCCAGAGGCAGGTGGGCATGCCAGAACCCAGCCAGCCACGGATCAGCTGGCAAAACACACAGGAAATCAGCTCACACAGGTGGATTTCCGTCCCGCTGCGGGACGGTCGGGAGCCAGGTGGCAGAGGCAGCTACAGGGTGAGGCTCGGGACAGCACAGACCCCAGAGCCCAGCTACGGAGTGACAGGGAGACAGGGTGGGGAAGGCCGAGGGTGTGGGCAGACCTGAACTAACAGCGAAGTGTGGAACCTTACTGCGGCCACGGACCGGGGGAGGAATGACTGCTGGCGTCCTCACAGGGGACACCTACCTGTGAAATCAGGGCCAGGCAGTCGCGTGCATAAGGTCGTGTGCCAGGCCTCCTCTCTGTCTCCCCACCCACAGGGGCCAGGCTGCAGCGGGACACCTGGGCAAGGTGACCTCTCCAATACAGCCCGCCCTCCATCCCGAGTGTCCTGACAGGACCTGGGGCTGCAGAGCACACGCAGCCACCGGCCCAGGGGCAGCCAGGTCAGGGGCAGCGGCTCCGGTGCAGTCGTGACGCCACCCAGCTCTGGCAGCCGCCCAGCCCTCGGGCCCAGTCCCAACCTGGCACCTCCCCCAGGCCCTCGGGCAGGCCTCTCGGCCGCGCTGAGGTGTCTGTGATGAAATCCTTCACTTGGAGTCCAAATCCTGTTCCAGTTGCCACACGGAGTAGTTTTTATTATGCTCGTGTTATTTCAATGCCAACATATTCTGTTACTGATTTGTGATTTAAACCCAGGGTTTCTAACCAAAATCACATGTTTTACAAAAAACCGCAACCCATAAAGCTCTCCAGTCACATCCCAAGCTCCTCTTTATTCCCCCTCAGCGAGGGGCAGGGGCTCGTGCTCAGGAAGGCCACAGACTCCCCTTTCCCTTCCTCTAACCCAGCCTTCCTTTACCGGCCGCCCTCCTGGCCATGGTCCTGGCACCCGAGGCCGAGGGGCCGTCAGGAGTGCTGGCTCAGGTGGCAGGTCTGGGGGGGACTCCCTGAACCCCACAGCAGGCCTGCGCTGTCCACAGAAGCTCCTCCACGGGAACGACATGGAGGGCACAGGGGCTCTGGGAAGGGACCACACCCTCCCCACCGCCCGGCAGCCGCTCGCGCCTCGACAGCACGGCTGCACGCACTCTGCCCACGGCCTCCGAAGCCGCCACTCAGACCAGCTGCAGGCGCTGAGACCGCCCTCCCCGCACACAGGCCCCAGGAGGCCCGAGGTCCTGCTCACACCAATACCAACCACCACTCCCCACGGTGTGGCTGGAACACAGGGCGCCATCATGAGGCCGCTGCGGATGCTGGCTCCTCAGAGCAAGGACCAAGTGCTTAGGCGGTTTGTTTTCATAAAGAAGCCTCATCACCCCAAGAGAACAATAAGCAGTCAGCACAGGGTGAATGTGAGGCTGGTAGACTGTCAGACAAGACGTCTGATTATTTGCAGTAATTTCCCATCTGCCATCTAAATAAAGAAACCGAAGAGCCAGCCACGGATCAGGCCTGGGTGGGGGTGACAGTCAGGCTCCAGGTGGGGACCGAGCAGACTGCTTCCCATGAGACAGACCGATGTGTCCAGGGGAGACACTCTGTGCCCCGACACAGTGAGAACTCCATTTCCCATAAGACCTTCTCTCCGCAGGTGCGAGGGGTTCGGGAAGCTCTGCTGCAGAGACACTCCAACCCCTGCTCACGAGGCCAGAGAGGGAGCAGACAGCATGCCGGAAGCACGCAGCAGTCCCTGTGATTCTCTCCGTTCTCAGCCCTCTTATGAAACAAACACTTGGAAACCGACAATTAGAAGTCATATTCCAGAAGAAAAGCAAACAAAGAGGCAATTGACAAAAGGGAACATAAATGAGCACAGGAAGTGATGCTTATCACCAGGGCAACTTAAATCATTCCCTGCCACCTCCAGCCCCTCCAACAGGGGCAAGAAGCCCCAAGCTAGGACACAGGAAAGCAGCTCTGAGCCTGTGTGCCCCCCAACCTCCCTCAGGGCCAGCGTACTCACCAAATGCAGTCAGCACCAGTGTGTAAGTAGTCGATGTAGGGAAGGTGGTTTTGGTCTCGAGACCAGCATGAGGTAGAAAAGACCATGCCAATATTTAGCCAGGGAATTGTCACTCCTAAAACATAAAGGGAGAAAGCAGCAACAATGTCTGAGAAACAGTTATCAGAATCACTTTTATGTCCCCGAGAGGGAGGAAGGGAGGGAGAATTCAAAACTAGTAAGAAGGAACTTGCTCTTCCTGCTCGCTGCGCAGAAGCCAGGCTGAGATGGGCACGTTACAAATAGCAGTGAAAGTCAGACAGCACGATGCCCCAGGGAACGTGACCGTGACGACTGGTGGCAAATAACCAGCAGCCATGGGCGGGACCCCAAGGCTACGAACGGGGGCTCCAGATCTAACTAGTGTCTGGAGAGGCCCTAAGTACTCGCCTCGGCTGGGTGAGGAGGGTCCCAGCCTTCAGTGACCGGGGCCCAGGACACGGGCTTTCCAAATGAGAACCTATCACTAGGAGCCAGCATTACTCCTATGGAGGCAAGACTTCTGCTCTGAAAACACCCATTTCAAGGGGAAAAGTTGGCTCTGGCACCTGCCCAGCTGATAGATGCTGTGATGTGGTCCGCCTTCCTACGTAGTTATGGATTTCAACTTTGACCCTATTCCTTTCTTTCCTGCAAATCAGTGTCTTGAAAGTAAATACTCTTCACCGGAAGTCCCGTCCTTTCCTGCTCCGGGGCCCTGAGGACTGCGGCCACGTGGGACTCACCAGGCACAGCACCGAGGTGGCGCAGGATGGACCCTGTGTTATTGGGGAGGACGGTGAGGTTCCATCCGTGCCTGCAGAAGAAAGGGGGCGTCACAAGGCTGGCGGGAATAACACCACCTAGTCCCCAAAATGCAGACTACAGCACCAACTCTACCTTGAAAACGGTTCCGATTTCCCCACGGGGAACCCGCTGCCGTGAGTGTTGGTGTCCACCTTGCCGCAGTGCACCGCCACGTGGCAGTCCTTCTCCTCCACGAGCCGCCAGTACTCTTGCTGCGGGAAGAGGCGGGGAGTCAGCACAGCTCACCCCCAGCACTGGACACCAGAGCCCGAGGAAGGAGCCATCCCAGAGCAGCCGCCAAGAGAGCACGGAGTAGGACAGCGACGCTCACATGACCTCTGCAGGCAGGCAGGGCCCAGACAGAGGCAGGGACCCCAACAGACAATGCACACACGATCATGGCAGCGTGTGCACCTCAGCGGAAGGAAGTAGGCCGTGTCCACACAGGGGCAGACAGGCCCGAGGGGGCGGTCCGGACAAAGTCCTGCTCTTCAGCCTTCAAAGGGCAGGCTGACTCATGCCACATGGCCCATCTTGAAATAAGCAGGGCACACGGGAAAATATCGCACAGTCCACTCCCGTGAGGACGAGAGCAGTCAGAATCACTGGCTGAAGGCAGAATGGCAACTGCCAGGGGCTGAGGGACGAAGTCACGGGAAATTACTACATAATGGAAACAGAATTTCAGTTCTGCAAGATGAACAGCATTTTGGGGGTGGATGGTGGTGATGGTTCACAACAATGTGAATTAACTTACACTGCGGAACTGTACACTTAAAAATGGTGAAGACGGTAAAGTTAAGATTACCATAATAAAAAGGACTTAGATGAAAGGGGATAGGAAATGAAATGATACGGAGGCAGAGGACATCCCCGGTGGTCCTCAGACTCAAGTAACAGCCTCTGCTCCAGCACCCCGACAGACGCAGCTCACGCGCGCCCCAGCACCAGCCCTCTGACCTCCACGAAGAGCAGAGCCACACACACCAGCGGCCCCGCGCCAGCCGCCTCGGGTGAGGGTGGCGGGCTCAGCGGCCGTGCTAAGTGCTGCCCTCGTGACTGACAGTGTGGCAGGAACGCGCTTCACCACCAGGTGAGCAGACGTGCCCAGATCACCGTTAGGCGACTCCCACACTCAGAGACATTTTCATTTCGTTTCATTCACCAAACTAGAAGCACGGCATCGCTTCCCGAATCCTGGCAAAGCCCACTTAGCGGAGGAAGCCTAACCCGTTACCACAGGGCGGCTCAGGGCACTGCAGACGGGGCGGCGCTGTAGGTGCCACAGCACTGAGAGGGGCCAGCTGGCAGCGCCTAAGGCCCCAAGCCAAGAATAAATCAGCATCACTGTCACTAACCGCCTGGACCTTAAACAGAGGTGCTCGCACGTGAGGAAGGAGCGATAGTCTGGCTGGCGGGACTGGTCCAGTCGGGCCCTGCCCTCCGAGCGCCAGACTGACAGCAGCCTGCCGCAGGTGAGTAACGCTGCGGGGAGGGAGGGACCACTGCCACAGGGGGCCACTCCATGCTGAGCACTGGCCAAAGGAAGGTGGGCCTTCTTTGAAGGAGCCAGAAGCTAGACAGCCTCAGACAAAAAGTTTGGATTTTAGCAAATATTCCTATTGTGTTTAAATAGTACGTAACTGCTAAAGCAAAAGCCAGATTTCCAGAGAGAATGGATTCTCAAGTCGGAAACAGAAACACACCAGGCTTTCCTCGTGCAGCGGACGGTAATGAACCTGCACCTCAGAGATGCCCGCCCACATGGACGGACGCTGTGCAACAAAGGCCTTTTTCCAAGGAGCCGCGTTCCTGTCTCCTGACGTGCCAGCCATGAGCACTTCGCAAGCAACTGTGTGGCCACGTGTCCCCGAGCCGGGCCGGCTGACACTGTGGCTGGCGGAATGTGGTGTTGGCAAGGCCAAGCCCGGGGGTGGGGCGGCGGCCAGCCACAGCGTGGCGTTCCCAGGCAGCAGCCAGAGCACAGAGCTCTGCGAGCACCGCCCATCAGAGACCCAGGCCGAAAAGGAGGCCAACGGTGCTGAAGGCAGACACGAAAACCACCAAGCCGAGGTGCGACCAGAGACTCGAGTGGAACCCGCTGAGCTTCTGATGGTGACAGTGAAGGGGCGGCATCACACGTACCCAATGGAGGGGGCCCGGCGTCCTGGTGTGGCCTAGACTGTCCTGCAAATCCCACTCCCAGGAAAACATGGTCAAATCAGGACAACTGGGCCCGAGAGGTCAGCCTGGGTGCCCCCAGAAGAGATGGCGTCCGTCCCTGAGAACACTGCAGGCTGCAGTCCGCACCACTGCTCCCGCCACAGCTGCCCTTAAAGGCCTGGGAGTCTGGTGTCTCTCCGACAGCACCACGTGCTGCTGAGGCTGCCGGTGCCAGCGGCTGGCAGTTCTCAGCCACTCAGCTGGGCACTGGCCAAGTGGAGGCAACTAAAAGACAGGGTCTCGGACCTGGAGCACCTCACACAAAACTCCCCTAATTGGTCTGGGCACAGAGGTGCTCACTGTCTTTCCAACCTCACACTAACTCAGAACTGAGTTGGCAGAACACAAAAATGGCACTGTGCCAGTCCGCTAAATAAAACAGGGGAGAAGGCACAGCAGAGCTACGGTTTCAAGGAATTCCAAATATTCCCCTGCGTAACAGACACCCAGAGGGCGGGGAGGAGCGGCCAGCGGAGGGGGCAGAGGGAGGGGGAGGAAGACGCCCAGCTCACCCTGCCTCCGCCTCTGGCTGGGGTAAATCAGGGACAAGCCGGGAGGAGGCTCTCTCTCACTCTATCTTTTTTGAGTCTGAGGAAGTTTAGATAAACAAGAGCTAAAACTTCCAGCTGCCCCAGGACAGGGAAAGAAGTCAACCACTCAAGTCCTCTCAGGCTGCCAGGAGGGCTGGGCCCCAACGCGCGGAAGCAGGAGCTCAGCTCACCTCAATTTCAGCTGGCGCAGGCTCCTTGTTGAAGCACATGTTCATGATGTTTCTTGCTGTTCGATAAAACGTTGTTAAAGAAACAGACCTTCCCTGGAAAGAAAACAAAAACAGGTAAGGCTAGCTGAAGCAACACATCAGGCTGGCCCTGCCATGGGCTCTGCTGGCACCCCCCGTGGCCTGGGCGGCTGGTGCCCAAGTTAGCACGAGAAGAAAAGTTGGGGAATCATTCTCGAAGCTCAGTGCCGACAAGGGAAGGAGTTCACACTGCCTTTGCAGCACCAGGAGCAAACAGACCTGGTATCTGGAGGCAACCGGCTGTGCATGGGGAGGCTATGCACCGGGAGGCTGTGCACCATGAGGCTGAGCACGGGGAGGCTGTGCACGGGGAGGCTGTGCACCATGAGGCTGAGCACGGGGAGGCTATGCACCGGGAGGCTGTGCACCATGAGGCTGAGCACAGGGAGGCTGTGCACGGGGAGGCTGTGCCCTGCAAGGCTGTGCATGGGGAGGCCATGGGATCAGCTTTCACTTTCGGGAGAAATGGGTACGGGTGGAAAAGGAGGCAGAATTCCTGTTACCCATGTGAGTGAAGGATAAAGGTGTGGGCAGAGACTAACAGCATTAAGACAAACCCAGAAGAGAAGTCTGGGAGATCCTCAGAGACAGAAACTTGGGGCCCCAAAGGTCCTCACCACATGAAAAGCAGCCACACACGCTACCTCACCTCGTGGATCTGAGGGGACAGAAGTAACCTGGTGACTCTCTTGCTGTCCCACTCCCACCTCCCAGTGACATTCAAAATGATCTGCGCTCCTTTGGCACATGGCTCTCTGTTCTCGTTTGGGAGTCCAGGTAGGCCTTACTTTACAGGTTTTGTTACCCAGAGACAAGCTTGTAAGATTCATGCCTTTTACTCTTTGGTGACCAGGCACGTGTATCCCTTGATTACAGAAATAGGTGCCGAGCACCTACGGTGTGTCAGGCCCAGGTCAGCGGCTGTGGTGGAGCAGGCTGTGCGGTGCCTGTGCAGCTCCCCCCCTGCGCTGCGGCCCTGAGGAAGGGGAGGTTTCCCTCTGAGCACCGCGGAAGTAACACGCCGCAGCACAGGAAGCCTGCCCGCCACGGACATCAGGGCAAAGCCTTCACACTGGCTGCTCTGAGATCCTCCTTCCAGCTTTAGAAGTGACCCTGCGGAGTGCTGACACAAAGGAAATACTCCCTGCAGTTCCAAATTTCTGGCATTCCGTTCCTTACAAAATAACAGCTTGCCCTGGCCAGGTGGCTCAGTAGTTTGGAGTGTTGTTCTGTGAACCATAAGGTCTCGGATTCGATCCCCAGTCAGGGTGAGTATGGGAGGCAACTGATCAATTTTCTCTCTCACGTCGATGTTTCTTTCCCTCTCCCAAACCGATTTTTTTAATGAAAATATAAGTAGGTAAGTAAATACAACCTAGTTTTGCCCTAAGGCAGAGTGCCCAGAATTCGAGAGGACACCCAGCACTCAAGAGTCAATGGCCCCAAGGGCACAGCTGGGCAGCAGCAGGGCCACCGGACCGCCCCGCAGACCAGCTTGTAGGATTTTGCGATGAAATCTAAAAATACACTTTACAAAGCAGGTTTTCAAAAAAAAAAAAAACTCTTGCTTGGATCCAACTCACCCTCATAAAATTGACCTTCTTCAATAAAAAGTAACAGAAGTAGAGAGTCTCCTATTTCATGTGCTGGCCGTTCAGTCCCGGGTTTAATGAGCGGTTTCCGTGGAGGAGGCGCCTCAGGCACATATCCAGGAAACTCCAAAGTCCTCCCAAGTTCACGGTCCGACCACCCCTCTCCCTCCCCAGGAAACGTTTAGAATGCGAAACAGGAGGAGGCCATCAGCAGGCTGCAGGCAGCCACTGCCCTCCCCACGGTCTCTGCAAGGCGTCCGGGGAGGTAACGGGACACTGAACCCACTCTGGGTCTCACCGTAGAAAACGTTCCAGAGAGAAGGCAGGGCTAAAGCCCAGCCGAAAAGTATCGAGTGTGGCCGTGGTGGCCACAGGCGACTTCGCAGCATGGACTCAGAAGGGCAGGCACACCGGGCTCCCTATGTGTCTGGGATGGACCCGGTATCACGAGTCCACGTCGATTTAACCAGGTGGGCACAGGCCAGGCCTGCCCCAGGCGGCTATTTCCAATGGAACAAAATTCCCCAGCTCACTGGGTGGGAGCAGGGCTGTCAAGCGAGGGCTGCCAAGACTCACCACAGAACACGTCCACCTGGTAAGCCCAGAACAGGGACCCCGCGTAAAGCCCATGCAACTCAGCAGAGGCCTCTCTTAGCTCTGCCCCCAGTGCCCCACTTACCCCTGCAGGCAGGGGAGGGGCAGCCCCAAACCTGGCTTTGGAACCAGCCAGACAGGAGGCTATGGAGGCCTCTGCTGAGCAAAGGCAGGCGGGCTGCCAAGTGGGAGCGCCCCTGACTCTGCCATACTTCTCAGAGGAGGGCATCTCCCAGGACGGCTGTTACAGCAACAAGATCTGGCAGAGGCAGAACTGGGAAACATGGGCACGTGCTTGCCAGCCCACTCCCCCACCTCCCTCCCCCCCCCCCCCCCCCAGCAGGTTCAATGGTGAGATGTGAGGAGAACTCTATGGGCCTCTCTACAGGTGACTGGCCAAGCTGAGGTGAGGCAGTGGGCTCTGCAGATAGTAAAAAAGGAAACAGAGAGAAACCACACTCCAGGCCTGACTGGGCTGCTCCCGCCCTCCAGCCTGAGAGAGGGTGCTCGGAGGGGCACACAGAAATGTGGGTGAGGAGGAACTATTTGCATCCTAGGTACTGCATCCCTGGCACCTGGGTGCTCACTCAGCTCATTCAATGAAAAGCAAAGCCAAGGCCTGAAGGGGGCAAGCGACTCCGCCCATGCTCACAGTTCCCAGGGCAGCAGGCCAGATGCCCTGAGGCCTGGGGCCTGGGGCCTGAGCAAGCTGCAGACATTTCTCTTATTACGTTTCCCAGAGGAAATGGCAGGTGGCTTTGGGGCCCGCCCACACGCCCTGCCCACCGCACAGGGCCTACCTTATATATACACTTGTGGAAGTCACTGAGGACGCCTTTGTCCTCTTCCTCTTCCTTCACCACTTCCTTTTCCTGAGCAAAGAGTCGCCGCCGGCCTGTCTTGGGCTGGGCCTGGCCCACCTCCTTGAGCTTGCTGCGAAAGCCGTTCCTGTGGGCCACGCCGTTGATGAGCCCGTTCTTGGGCTCAAAGCGGGGCAGGGGGTGGAACGTGCTGTAGTCCTGCTCCGTGTGGCCCTCCAGGGGCCCCTTCCGCTTCTCCAGGAGCTCCTTCTCCATCAGCACCTCCTTCTCCAGCCGGCGGTGCTCCTCGGGGGACAGGGAGTCATAGGACAGCAAGTACTGGCAGTAGGCCTCCTGGAGCTTGGCCAGCCGGTCCTGGGCAGTCTTGGGGATGCGCAGCATGTCTGCGAGTTTGTTCCATTTTTTGAGGTCAGTCACTTGCTGCATGCCGCCCATCTCGTTAATCAGTCGGAAAAAGCAGGCCAGGTCGAGCTCGCAGCCTCCTAGGACGGTGAGGGAAGAAAGTCTGTGAAAGGACCGGGAACAAGACCGCTTTCGTTCGCCTGACAGTCCGGGATGCCCTGTGTGCCAGGTCAGTAACCAATCATCTCTGGCCTCCAGGGAGCTTAGTCTGTGCAGACGGACCTTAAGACAATCTGCTGCATGAGGGGCAAATAAAGCTGACTGAGGGGCTCGAGAGTTGCGGGGCCACCGTCCTAAGTGGGGTGATGAGGGAAGGCTGCCCGGAGGAGGTAACATTTAAGCAGAGGTCTATGGTAGGGAGCTGACATGCTTCTCCTCAAATGGGCAGCACGCACTGGTATACACCGTCTAACAGACCCGGAGGCAGCGGTAATGAGACCAGGAGCAGTGGCCCACCCTGGAGAGGGAAGGGCAGGGCCCCGTTGTGCCATTCAGCCACATCCATGTCCCAATGTCATCTGGAATAGCTGTGATGTTAGAAATCATACACACAGCATATGTTGTCTGTCCCCTCCCCCTCCCAATCCAACACACATACATACACACACACACACACCCAAACACATACACCCGCCCAATGCACATACCTCATCTACCTACTCAACACACACATGCCCAACACAATACACAAACCCAAGACACACACATACCTCATACACACACACATACCTCATGCACACACACACACACACACACACACACACATACACACACATTTTCAATCCCATAGACAGGATTTCCAGGGCGACAGGAACTATTCAGAAGGGCACCTGGCAGTCTACCCTTCAATTCCTCCCATATGCACTCAAAGGAACCACTAATCTCAGAAGAATAGAGGCGGGTTCTCACTATATCGCTTATCAAATTACAGCACAGCTCAGGGGCCAGAGGTGGGCTGAGCATTCTGGGACACCCAGTGGAATGCCTGGGCCAACCCGAGAACTGCAAATAAGACCAGAGGACAATGTGAAGCTGGGTTTGGCTGCGTGTGAACAAGGGAACCTCGGGGAGGAGACTTCGCTGGGCCTCAGCCAGATTCCAGGCCGCACGCTGGTGTCTCAGTGAGGAGACCCGTGCCTGGCGGTGCACAGCCCTGACGGGCACAGGTAGAGGGTGAAACCAGTCACCCCAAGGTGCCACAGCAGCTCCAACCACGGGTCTTACTAATGACTAGAGGGAAGGCCTTTTCCTTTTCCCCTAAGATCCCTGTAATGCAACAGCACTTAAAATGTACCCAGTTCTCACAAATCCATTAACGTCTTCACACCTGCCATGATCAGCCCTTTCAGAGGGCTACCAGACTGCTACCTGGCAAAGCACCCCCATCACCTAGTCCAAGCTGACCCCACGCCCTGTAGCTTCCCAATTATCTGTTTGGGTAAATTCTGGGAAATTGCTTCAAAAGGACTAAGTCCCTTGCACTTGGAAACACCTGAGCTCAGACCCACGCCCACGGCCTCTGTGGGTAGCAGCCAGGTCAACACCCCTTCACAGACAGTGACAAAGCTTTACACTTGGGGCAAAGAGCAGAACACTCACCCGAGGGGCCATCTCCCGGACTTCTGCTGCTATGGGAGGAAGTCACAGTTAAAGAACTCCCACTCTGGCCAGGCCAGCGGGGCTCCGTGGCTGAAAGTCAAACTATGAGCCACGAGATCATGGTTCGATTCCTGGTCTGGGCCCATTCCTGGGTTGCAGGCTTAATGCCCAGTAGGGGGCATGCAAGGGACAGCCAATCAATGACTTTCTCTCCTCATTGATGTTTCTATCCCACTGGCTCTTCCTCTCTCTAAAATCAATAAAAAATATATTAGAAAAATGAACTACTCTGAAAAAAAGGTGGTTGGCTGGCATCATGGCATCACCTGAGTACTCAACCAGCCCCTAAAAGATCCCCAACTCAGGGTGGGTAAGAGGACCTGGTGCTGCTCTTAATCACCCGAAAGCCGAGTGCACACAGGGCACAGCCAACACCAAACTCCTGAGACAAGCTCAGCTCCTCAGCTCATTCCTGCAGCCCTGAGTCACTGTCTATCACAGGGCATCCTTGACCAGAGACCACCACCAACCAAGAATTCTTTCAAATCAAGTGATTCTCACTCAGGCATTAGCCCTGGCAGGCACTGCTGAGAGGAATAATGAAAGCTCATCTCTCAAAGGAATGCCATCTTACTGCCAGTTCTTGACACTTAAACAGCTGCTATACGTCTCCTTTTCTCCCAGCCTTTGAAAAATCAGAATCTCCACAATGGAGGCAGGAATGTGCTGCTTCCTTTCGTGGATCTAGAGCTGGGAGGGAAGTGTGTGACCTTACTCAGCTGTCCCCAAAGGAAATCCCCTCCTCGGGGCCCACTCGTGTGAAAGTGAACTAGTCCCGGAGGTGTAGGGTCCAGAGGAGAAGCAGACAGGGGAGCTTGACAACCCGTGAGTGGACGCTGCTAGGGGGCCGGGGGCCCTCAATGGAACATCTGCCCACTAGTCAGTGAGCTGAGCTGTGTGACCGTCCTGGGCAGAGCTGTGCCGGCTCTCGGGGGAGTGTGCACGTTCCTGAACCTGTGGGCTCCACAGGGCCAAGTTGGATGCCATGGAAGCAGAAACTCAAGTCAAAATAAGGAGGAGGAAGAGACAAGGACAAGACAGAAGAAGAAATACCATGGGCTGAGGTCTACAAGAGTTCTTGGACGGATATGTGTCCCCAAATATTCATGTGCAGAATCCTAACCCCTGATTTCTCAGAATTCGACCTTATTTGGAGAGTCTTTAAAGAGGCATTAAAATGGGGTGAGTCCTAACCCACAGGACTAGTGTCTTTATAACAAAAGGAAGAGACAGCAGGAGCTTGCACACAGAAGAATGGCCATGTGAAGACACGGAGAAGAGCCACATACATGCCAAGGGGAGAGGTTCTGGGGGATGCTGCCCTTGCAGGCACTTTGGGCTTGAACTTCCAGCCCCAGAACTGTGAGACGGTAACTCCCTGTTGTTTAAACTCCTGAGGCTGTGGTGCTAACAGTGGGCATCCAGCCAAGCAGACGAATCCGGGGAGAGAGGGGTGCGCAGCATCCCATCACACCCTGAATGCTGCTCTGGCCCCTGCAGGCATAGGGGACCACCCAGCGGGGAGAGCATGGACCCCGATACCCACAAATGTTCAGGTCCTGGAGAAAAGGGGCAGTGGCCTCCCCTGAGCAGCAAATGAGGCAGGAGAAGCGCATCCCCCATGACAGGGGAGAGAAACGGGCACGGGATGAGGCAGTGGGCAGGCGGGGCTTACCTATGAGCGGGAGCTCGTCCATGGTGATGCCCTGAGATCTGAGGTGCTTCTTGATGCAGGCCAGCCGCTGCACGTTGGGGCCCCAGCGCCGGCCCAGCTTGTGGATGTGCTGAATCTGCGTGACGAACCGCATCTCGTCGTTGAGCTTGCACTCGGGCCGCCAGTCCGGAGGGGGGATGACCCTGCACATGCCGTACTTCTCCACCTGAGCGCGCACCGACTCGATGTAGACGAGTGGGTCGTGGAACTCCTTAGCCGACGGCCTGAGCACGGGGATCTCATCCATGGCCGCCCACCCGACCCGGCCGGACCCCTTCTCGGGCTTGGCCGCCGCCTCCTGCGGCTTGTGCAAGGGCTCTGATTGCGAGGTAGAACGATTTTCACAGGAGGCGCCGTCAGCCTTGCCATGTGCTTGTCTGCCCGGCGCGCTCCTCCCGGCTGCGGCCCGCTTCGGCCGGTTCCTCTCCAAGCTCCGCTCGGGCACCTCCTTCTTCACGTGTCCGTTCAGCAGAGCTTTCTCCGCCGGGGCCGGGGCCGGGGCCGGGGCCGGGGCCGCCGCCTTCCTGCCGGGGGCTTCGGCAGAGCCGGCCGCCCCTTTCATCTTCTTGGGGGGCGACTGCAGCTTCTCCGCCTGGTGTGCCTCCTCCAGCCTCCGCTTGGAATTCCGCAGCCCCTCCCGCAGCTGCCGGCCCCCCACCTCCTTAGTGCATGACTTTGGGTTCAACCGGCCGCTGACCTTGAGGCCGTGGACGGCGGGCCCGGTGGACTTGGACACCCCCCCGAGGGATAGCACCTGTTTGCGGGTTTTTGCATTGCTACTTTCAGTTTTCCCTGAGATTGTGTGGTTGACAGCTGAACTGGGCTTGTGGTGATTGGGTTTGGTTTCCTTGACCAGTTCTCTCTTGGCTTTGGTGTATGTGACAGTCCCCTTCGTCACGGTTGCAGTGTACTTCACAGTTTTGGACGGTGAAGGCCTGACTTCGCGCATCTTTTTGGCACTGGTTGCACTTGCACCCAGAGATGACATTCGAGTGACTCCATTTACCTTCGAAACCTGGGAGGCAGCAGGAGAAGCAGAGGACAAAAAAACACAGAATCAGTACCTGCCAAGAAGGCAACTCCCCCACACACTGGTCACTAAACAGAGACAAGGGCTACCTGCAAAAGCAAACCAACACACTGCCTGGGGCTATTTCAGACTCGGCACCGTCCACACCCATCCTTTTCCACTTCCTCCCTCACTGTTCTCACAGCCATCTTCTGAAGTGCTCTCCCGAATTTCATACCATGTCCACATAACAAGCTTGAAAATTCAGTGTTCCCTCCTCACGCGCCATTAGAACAGTGAATTCTAATTTAAAAGAAATAAACTGCAAAGACTGGAAAGGGCATGTATTCCCACCCCGAAGCCTACCCAGTGCCTGTGTTTCCTGACTGCCCGTAAGTGGCCACAATGCAGCTGACATACTAACCCCACACCAATCTGTCCCAGCAGCTTGCCCTAAGTCCTAAAGGTAGGGATAAAACAGAACCAGCAACCCAGGACCCACCTACTAACACACAGAAGCCTATTCCTTGGCCTTGTACTGGTCTCTCGGTGCCAATGTTTAATTGGTGCCAAAGGAAACAAAGGAATGGAAGGAGACATTATTCTGTCACCGCTTTGTCAAACAGAACCAAACTCCGATTCGGCCAGCTCACCACGTGCAGCCCGTCCTGAGGAAGTGCTCACCCGGTGCACATGGGCGAGGGGTCATTTTAATTCACTGCAAGACTAACACAATGGTAGCTCAAGGCAGAATCCTCCCACAGGCAATAAAAACACTTTAACTTCCCAGGTCTTCAAGGATCTGGTATGGATTTTGTCTTTGCATCGTTCTCTTCCAAACTCTCACCCAGCTCTGCTGGAAGTGGGTTATATGCAGCTTCTTCCCTTGGCCCACCGACACCTGTGGCTCAGGTCACCCTCAATTCAACCAGAAATTTAACTGTCAAGCTCTCATTTCCCACTAGAGGGAGCCATTGAGCCGAATGCCTCTGCCCACCCCTTCAGAAGGGAGAAGAGCAGGTAGGGAGCTCAAGAGAAAATTATTGGAATAGTCCCCTTGGGCTTTAAAACTGAATTGAAAAGACAAAAGATTCTAAAACAAACAAAGTGAAGGAATGGGACTTCTGGTGTGACAGGCCTCTTGGTTAGAGACAGGGCCCAAAGACAGCAGGACAGGCAGCCAGTTAGTCCCCCTCTGGGATAGAAGCCCTGCTGCTACTGGCAGTCCTAACTCTTCCAGCACCTGCTGACACTGGAGGCAACTTACCTGAGCCACAGATACCACTTGATGTGCAATCGAACCAGCAGCCTGAGCTGATGAGGATACAGTGAGACCTTCAGCAGGCGCACAGCCAAGATGAGCGCCGACCCCTCTAGAAGAGCTCGGGTGCCTGTCACAGCTTTGGGAACAGTCCCAGTCCCTTAGTTTGTACAAAGCTGAACTGCACTGACTGTTACAAGGCCAGGATTCTGCAGCCCTTGCAGATGTTCATGTGAAACCTTCCCTCCGAGGCAGCAACTCCCCCATCTCCCAGCCACACGTGTCCATGGGGCCTCAGTGCCACCATTTGCAGGGGAGGTTCCAGGGTCAGCACAGCCTGACATCCATGTCCCAGCGTACGAACTACTCATATTTCTGCACCAGCAAAAACCTCCTCATGACTCTCCTGGAAAACTAACATTTCATATCCCTCGCTAGGTGTCAGCTCAGCTGTTCTCCATCCTAAAAGTCTGCCTTTTACTGCATTTAAACTGAAGTGTTATTTTAAGAAAACAAAAATAGCTTTTGCTCCTGACACCTATGATACATGCAGATTCTTATCCAGAGACACTGCAGCCAACAACCCCAGGGCTGCTGGATACGCATATGCATCACATGGCAGATGCGTGATTGGTGTGGCCCCTCACACCAAGAGCAGGGCCTGGGTGCAGTGCACACACATGCTGTCTCAGACACAGGGCCTGTATGAGGCTTAAGAACCATAAGTAGAATTGTGCCAGGCAAGAGGTGGAGAGTGGGGAGGAGGGCAAATTTCTGGTAAAAAGTGTGAGGCATCAGATGATGCCAGAACAAATGGCGCAGTCACTTCTCAGCTGCACCCTCAGCACTGGGCCCTTCCCTCACCACCCGCACCTCACACAGCGTGTGCATCCTTCTCTTCGGGTCAACATAAAAAGATTAATCCTATTTGAGATTCAATACCAGAGTATCCTCTGGGCCCCTATCCTATTCAGGTGAAAGAAGAAAGATCAGAGTCTAATCATTTGCATCACGTAGTTACAAAAAAATCTACAATATGCTTCTATTGACCTTATTTTCACAGTAATTAATTAATGGGATCTGATGGTTTCAAAATTATCCTTTCGTTTCTCAGAATATCCTTATGAGAGTAGGCATGATTGGCTCCAATGAACAATAGGTCCCAGAAAAGCTAACTATCACCACCTCTTAGAGAGGGTCATGGTCAAAGCCAAACTAGAACTGGGAGCCCTGGGCCATCCCATCTGGGTTGATTGGTGGGTGAGCACAGTCAGGAAGGAGCAGGAGAGGGGAAGAGACCTTGGGAGGAAACTCCCTAACCACTGCGCACTTACACCCCATCTGCAAAGGCGCCAACGACAACTAAGCAAGCCAGGCTCCCGTACTAACTCAGATGGCAGGAGTCTGCTCTGTAGGGCGCCCCCAGATCTCTCCTCCAGCTCACTGCCTGTGGAACAGGCTCCCCCTGTGCCTTCCATGGAGCAAGGGATAGGGTGATCCCAGGGCAAGGGGTACCTCTGCTCTTACCTCCACTGATGCAACTTTCTTGTTTGGTAGCAAAGAGCAGTTAACTACACCAGGGGTTTACTCCATCCAACCTCATACACAAAAGTGAAAGAGGAAGCATGTGTGTTTATAATTCCATGTGAATATGAAGTTGCATATCCATCCTTCACAAGCCTTCATTCCTGCCCCACTGGGCCCTCAGCTTCCCTGGGTCCCTTTTTAATTATTCTTTTCCATAAGCAAAACATCCGTGGGAGAGTTCTGCACAAGTGCCTATCAGACCATCAACTTTGGAAATTAAATGGAGATAAATCTTTAACTCAAAAACCAAGGGTACCGTGTGCCCTATTCTTTGTGCTGCTCAACCCTCAAAACAGGGCACCTAGAACCTGGGGGACCAATTCCACAATCCTGTGCAGTTGTTCTAAGAAAAGAAGAATGTTTAAAATATGTTAGAAACACTTGCTTCATCTCCAGATAACATTGTAAAGAGTGATGTGGAAACATCCGTGAGGATGCTTGCCTTATTATCCCACCAACTGCAGAGCTGAACAATATTTACGCTATAGATCAATACATGTGTGTGTACAGGCTCCTAAGTATGTTATGAATTTAGTCACATAAGCGAGAAATATGTCTTCAAGAATGAGCAAAGACCACAAGTAAAAAATACCACCCCCACAATGACCATGTTTCAGCCATTCTGCTGCCAGCCAAGACATCTCTTCTGTACACCCAAACCTTGCCCGAACCAATCTTTAAAACTACAGTCTCCCATCTATTCTAGGGGAAAATTTAACTGTGTGTGACAAAATTCTCAGTGCAGGCTCATCTCTGATCCTCAGGGCTCCTGACTTTCAAACAGAGTGAGGACAGGAGCAGAGAGAGGGTTAAAGAAATGCCCCTTCGTGGGGGTGGACGAGTGAGCCCTTCACCGCGGCCTCTGAGCACCCGCCTTTGTCCCCTGGTCTCCCTCCCTTTTTCCCTCCCAGGGCACTAAGATCAGTGTCCAAAGACTGAGCATTGTGACAGAAAAAAAAACAAAAACAAAAACAAAAAAACCCGGCTAAGCCCTGAGGCCATTCTTTAGTTTCTCCACCAGGACTTGTTTTTCTGATCTGACAGAAATGGGGGCAGTAGGAGCAGGAGAGCAGTGCCCTTTGAGGAGCCTCTGGCAGGACTGAAATGTGCTCAGAGGAATTCATTCCCCCTCTCACCCACCCCGTTACAGTCCCCCCACTCGCCCCACCCCCGTCACAGACCCCCCCCACCTCCTATCAAACACCCCACTCCCCTACCCCGCATCACACACCCCGACTCTCCCATCCCCATCACACACATATAGCCCCCGGCGCAGGAGCACAGGCACATCCTCTGGTCCAGCCGGCACCAACCGGTGGTCTGTGAGGTCCGAAATGTTGGCGGACCGCTAATCTGGTCAGGTGTCCTGCGGAGAGGTGCTGACTTGTCATGTAAAGATGACAGATAAGAAACCCAGCATGGCCTGCAGGCCTGCTTCCAGTTGTAACTCATTCACTCTTGGCCTAACCAGTAATGGTCCCCCAAGACTCCAAGTAGGCTGGCTCAGAGGGGGCTCCCTTCCAATCCATCCTCACTCAGGAGACTCAACAGATGGTGGCACCTGGGACAGCAGCACCTGCTGGGGTGAATGCCAGTGCACCACCAGCCCAAAGGGACTGCCCTTCACGGGAGGAGGTGTGAGCGCCACAGACCGCCCCACTTCATCTGAGAGCATCACTGCTGTTGCTTTCTGAGCCTCTCACATTTCCTTTCAGTTAACTAGGAGGCAGAGCAGTGGCATCTGGCAGGCACCCTCTGGGCCACACACTACGGTCACCTGCGTGGCAGGGCTGGGCTTTACCTGTTTCCGTAAGTCCTGAGCCGACCGATGCAGAGGGGGATGGTGGTGGTTAGCAGTGGGCCCCTTGGCCGAGGAGCCAGAGGCGGGGGCTGAGGGGGGTTGGTTGGCTGGAGCCGGCTCCCTCCGGCTGTCGGCCCGGTGATCACTGTGCTTGTCCTTGACGGAAGTGGCCTCCTTGCTCTTGTGTTTTTGAACAGGTTCTTTCTCCCGTGATGACCTGCTGGAACCGTTGAAAACTAGGAAGAAAAAAATGAAGAATAAAGTCATGACCTGAGCATGCTGCAAGGGAACATAAATTTCCTGGCCTCTGAAAGAGTAAAAGAGAGAGCTTTCCGTACATCGAGTCCTATCACACAACCAAAAGCAGCCCCCATCCCAAGCCCCCCGGTCAGAGCACACCAGCAGCAGAACGCAGAGGCACAATGAAAAATGATAAACCTATCTTAAGAAATGTTATGGTTGAAATACTTGCAAACCTCATTAAAAAAAAAAATCTCTACCAAAGAAATCCAGCAACCCTTAGAATATCAACATCATGCCTTATACACAAAGAGAAATTAAAATGAAGAAACGAACAGCCGTTCCAAGAACAGGAGAAGGTTGTGTGTAAAGGTACAGGGGATCTGGAATAAGAACACATTCTCAGGTTTAGTGAGTCTGAGGACCTGCCATCCAAAGCATTGGGGATGCAGCTGCTTGACTTGACCTATCAGTGACCATGGAGGAAGGAGTGGGCCCCCGGGCAGGTCCTAACAGCCACCCCTGCTTCCCCTGAACCAGAAACACTGCTATCGCCGTGAGTGCACTGGGGCCGAGGACACTCTGGTTGGGCCCGTTAGATGGATACAGCCAGCAGGCATGGAGAGGATGAATGCCTTGCCCAGGCCATGCTGTCTTCACTAGCACATGCCACTCCCCGCTCTGAATCCCCAGTGGCTCTCAGTCACTGCTCAAGGTGCACACTGGATCCCACCCATATTGGAGGTCAAAGGGACCAGAGATGCTAGAGTTTCCACAGTCCCCTCCGAGGATGCGGCTGTCATTTTCTCTGCTGTACAGCCGGGACATGCACTCGTCAGGCCCCGGTGCTCTACAGAAATCCCCCCCCAGGGCTCTCTCCCCTCACTCCATCCCTGCAGGCGGAGGAAGAAGGCCAACCTGGGCCCCAACTGTTCTGACATACAAGCGCTCCAAGCAGAGTCATGCTAGAAAGTGGCAGGAAGCCACTTAGCTTTTTTTATTTTTTTGAAATATATTTTATTGATTTCAGAGAGGAAAGGAGAGGGAGTGAGAATCAGAGCCAGGCTGTCTGCACACCCCCTATGGGTATTTCAAGCCTGCAACCAGGCATGTGCCCTTGATTGAAATCAAACCCAGAACACCCTTCAGTCTGCAGGCTGACACTCTATCCACTGAGCCAAACCAGCGAGGGCTAGCTGTCACTTTTAGAAGGCTCCTGATGAAAGGTGCCTTGCCCTCCTCCAGGCAGGACTCACTACCTGACCACTGACCAGGCAGCTGTGAGGAGAACCTTTCCTGCAGTGGGGAGAAGCGGAGGTCAAAGTCCCGGCTCCTGCCGGCCCTGGAGGAGCTGGCACACACCACTGCTCCTCAGAGGCTGCTCCCCAACCTGCACCCACACCTCCTTCCTCACGTGCACCTCCATTTTAAGTGTCCTTCAAATTACATGTATGCCTTATATAGGTTGCAAATATCACCCTCTTATTGTCATATGGTTTTCTATCTCTTGTGCTAAATCTGCTAGCCCACTTTTTAAAGTTTCTTTCTTTGCCTTTATGCCTAGAACGCCCTTCCATATTTTCAAATGGTAAAATATTCCTCCAAGGTTCCTCCTAATTGTTTTTGGACTCAATTGGCTAGACTTACTTCTGCAGCCCAGTTGTCATTACTCTGTATATGGCACACCACGAATTTACATTCCCACATCTGGACTGCATGGGAGCTGGCCCCAGCGACCGGAAGTTCAGCGCTGAAGTAAAGACCATGCCACATCAAACATGGCCTGCCGGCCTGGGTGTGTGAGGTTCTGCAGGATGCTCTCAGTCACAGACAAAATGGAAGCTTTAATGGCTGGCATTTATTCTGAGTGCAGGGAACTGCCCACTGTCAGAGAGCATCAGTCTTACCCACGCTGGCAGTATCTGTGCTTGCTTTCAAGACAAATTAAAGGCAACATCTGTAAGAAGTCATACTTCAATGTGATTAAAAATCAAGCCAAAGAACATGAATTTAGGCAATTCTTGACTGTTCACAGCTCATTGGGACAGCAGTGAACACAGCTCCTTGATTGAACATGGCACAAGAGGTTGTTTTTTAATCTCAAATTTTCCACTTTTCTGTGCATTGTTACTGCCACTGGGGTGTGCATCAAGGTGCAGCCTGCCAAGATACATATGAGAAAATGCCCAAAGTTACTGATCATCAGGGAGATGCAAATTAAAACGACAATGCGGTACCACCTCACACCTATCAGAATGGCTACCATCAACAAATCAACAAATGAGAAGTGTCTAAGAGGATGTGGAGAAGAAGGAACCCTTGTGCATTGCTGGTGGGAATGCAGACTTGGTGCAGCCACTGTGGAGAACAGTATGAAATTTCCTCAAAAAACTAAATATGGAACTGCCATTTGACTCAGTGATCCCACTTCTAGGAATACATCCCAAGAATCCAGAAACACCATCAGAAAGAAGGTATGTATGTACTTCTATGTTCATAGCAGCGCCCTCCATAATAGCTAATTGAGATCTGGAAACAGCCCACATGCCCATCAGTAGATGAATGGGTAAAAAAAGCTATGTTAAATTTATACCATGTGAAAACTATGCAGCAGTAAAAAAGATAACATGGAGGGGCCTGGAGAGTATCATGCTAAGTGAAATAAGTCAGTCAGAAAAAGACAAGTATCACATAATCTCACACATATGTGTAACCTAAGTAATAAAATAAAGTTATGAATGGAATGGATCCAGAGATGTGGAAGCATGGAACAGAGTGTGAAACCTCAGAGGGAAGGTGGGGAGGATGGGTGGGTGGGAGGTACTCAACCAAAGACCTTGTATGCATATTTGTATAACCCATGGGCATGGACAATTAGGTGGTGAAAGCCTGGGACAGGAGGGATGGGAACGGGCTGGAGTGGGCTAATGGGGAAAAGTAGGGGGGGAGCATAAGTAATATTTTCTACAATGAAAAAAAATTTAAAGGTGCAGCCTGTTATGAAGTAAATGCCAGCTCCATAATGACTTACTTTGTTTAGATTTAAAAAAAAAAAAAAAAAAAAAAAAGTTCTATGGTTTTGTTAACATTTTAAGACACTGTATGAGCAGTAAAATCCCCAGTGCTGCTGCTTAACAACTAGGCAAGTTACTTACGCCCTCAGTTTTCTCATCTGTGGCCTGGGATAATAGGTGCCGCTATGCAGGGAGCCCCTAGCATAATGTCTGGGGCTTGGCAGGCACTTAACATTTGGGGGAAATTATTACTGGGTATTTGAAGGACTGTCACAGGTTATTACCTCATTAGATTGGGACAGGCTCTCCTCCTGCCCCCACCCCACCCCCCCACACACACACACATACAGTATAGAGAAGGGCTTCAACACAGACAGATGGCTGGGCTGAGCAGGCCCTTCACCACCTCCTCAGGGAACACAGCAGCCACCCGCTGCCTCCGGATATCCATTCCATGGGAGAAAGAGGCACTGCTCATGCCCCGCCCACGCAAGGAAAAAAAGCAATGTTAACAACACCCCACATCGCTACCAGGTTAATGAGTGGCTTACATATTGGGGGATCCCGGAGTTGCTCTCAAGAGAACCCCTAGGTCAAAACTGTTTTGATAATTACCCTACAACATATTTGCCTTTGACACTGTGTTGATAATTTCAATGATGGTGATGGCTAAAGGTGGATTAGCTATCAGGGAAATGCAAATCAAAAGCACGTGCTAAGAAGCCTGGCCAGATAATTCACTTGGGGAGAGTGTCGTCCCCATAAGCAAGGTTGTGGGTTCAATCCTTGGTCGGGGCACATGCAAGAATCAACTAATGAGTGCAAAAATAAGTGGAACAACAAAATGATGTTTCTCTCTTAAACCAATTTAAAAAGCGCATGAGATTCCTCTCCACACCCACTAGGGTGGCTATACTCAGAAAGATGAATGGTAAAGATGTGGAGAAATTGTAACCCTCATACACTGCTGGTGGGAATGTAAGTTAATGGGGCCACACTGGAAAACGGGCTGGGGAGTCCCAAAAGATGGATGAATCTGGAACTTAGAGAAACAAATGGGATATTATCCATCCATAAAAAGGATTCAAATATGATACATGCCATGGCACAGACCAATCTTAGAGTCACTACACAAGTGAAAGAAGCCAATGACAAAAGCCACATATCACACGATTAGATTCAAATCTAATAACCAGAACAGACCAATATATAGAGACAGAAAGTAGACTGGTGGCTGCCAGGGACTGGTAGGTTTGGGAAAAATGGGGTTACTGCTGATACTTACAAGAATTTTCAGGGAGAAGATGCTAAACAATGTTTCAAAGTTAATCATGTTAAGGGTTGCACAACTTTGTGACTATACTAAAACCTCCTGAATTATACACTTTACATAGGTAAATTTTATGATGATGTGAATTACAGCTCAGTAAAACATTTTTCTTTCTTTCTTTTTTTTTTTTTTAACAGTAAGAGGTGAGAAAAATAATGCTGTAAATACAGATCAGTGCAGTAGCCCCAAACTATTCCAATAATTATAGTCCTCTTCACAGCAGGTTAACAACAAACAAAGCCAGTGTCTTGTAAGGATGAGGGTAAGCAGTACAGAGTGTTAATGGTATTAAATCTTAACCCTTAAGGACACATATTTGCGTGATAAGATGAGAACTACAAATAAAGCACTTCTCCTGCGTACCAAAACAGGACAACTGTTTCCACGGAAAAGCACTTTCGAGATTGTTTAAGTTGCAAACTAGATACTTTTTTCATGCCATGCTATTTTTTTATTTGAAAGAACTACAAATATAGTTATTTGTCAGCCATTTACTAAAAAAGTGAATAAAATAAGCTTGTCAAGGAAAATAATTAAGTTATTGCTACCAATAACAGAACGCACAATTTCAAGCAAAAAAAAAAAAAAATTACAATTTTGAGAAACCTATACCTACCCACCATAAGTCTGACAGCCTCCAGCTCTTAAGGCC